CCCCGGCAAGTCTCGGCGCCCCCATTCTACCACCGTCGCCATTAGACATGCAGGAATGTTAACATTATTATGCATTATCATAAGCGTCTGCACGGCCCCTCCCGTCGCCGCTCTCTGTATTGTGTCTGGGGGGGCCTGATGCAGCAGCAGCTCTCTAAGAGCCTTGCCTGGCACGGGGCTGGGGACGGGACGGGGGTGTCCTTGTGCCATTTGCACAAATTGCTGCCCTTTAAATGAACGCACCCGACTCTCGAGCGTGATTATTTTGGTGATTTCTCTTTTTCTTTTTTTCATGCACACACTCATTTGCGTATATGCGTACGGCTTTCCTAAATGCTTAAAAATACGAAGGGATTATATTCTGCTAAAATGTGCTTTTTATTTGAGAATTTTTATATATTCGTAGATTTTTTCCTGCTTCATTTTAAATCTACCTCTACCACGATATGTAACAATGAAAAATCAAAAAGTGTATAAAGAAATTAAGAAATTGTCTATTACAAAATGCTATTATATTAATCATTATTTTAATGTATGGAAAACAGTTAAGCTTTTTCCATATATAATGCCAAATTTGAAAGAGGTAACAAGAAAATTATTTTCTAATATTTTTATTTATTTGTATTTCAATTTCCAATTGTTACAAAAAAGAAAATGTAATGTGAAGGTCATAATGTACTTTTAATGTCACCTTGTATAAAAACAATAGCCATTATAACACACAATTAAATTTTGCATTTTAATAAGGTTAAAAAACATACCATTTTTAACAAGATGATATTCATTAGCCAGGCTGCACATGTGCTCTTAGTATTTTTCATTTAAAGTGGACAAAAAGCAAATCACCCTTTACAACAGATGCTTATTTTCATCTCTTTACACATCCTGGCACAAAGGTGAATTTCAAATGAACCATTTTAAGAGTCACACACCCTAAAATGTACACCTCCTGGTGCGGTAGCACACGCGCACACATGTGCGCACACACGCACACATGCACGCAAGACAAAAAGGAAGGAAGGGAGGGAGGGAGAGAGAGAGGGAGGGAGGAGCCAGGCCGGTGGTCTCATTTGCAATTTATATTACGGCAGAGTTGAGGATGGTTTGAGGGAAAAATCTCGGCTTATAGGGGTAACATTAAAATGTACGTCCAAACGTAGCGATAAAGCAAAAAATGTAAATAAGACCAGGAGAAAGGAGTCAGAATGTTTAAGCGTAACCTGCTTCTTCAGGAATGCTTAGCCGGTGATTTAAATATTTAAATGAATATGGATGAGAAGTGGCTGCCTTATGAGGACATGTGACATGTACCAAACCCCAATACCCCCCCCCACACCAGGCTGCGTCCATGATTTGTGTGATTTTATTATGCGTGTGGCCTTTGTTCTCAGAATGAGGACCAGTGTATGTAGACGCCGCTCCAAACATCCGTACGACCAGCCAAGGGTTCGCGGTCCAGACCTGGCTGCTTAATAAAAATAAAGCTTCCAGAACACAAAAGGGAAACGACAGATTTACTTATTGTCTTCTATGGCATTCCTTAATATTGAGAGGGGAGCATCAGTGTGCGATTCTCCGGTGTATGGGGGGGGGGGGGTGACTGCGGCGTGTCACTCTCGCTAGCGAACTCCGTAGGTGGCCTGACCGAAAAGGCCAGCATGCTACATAAATGCATGTAAATGTCTGGAGAAAAAAATCCCAGTATGTTTTAATAAATACTGTCAAATACACGCACTACCAAATTATGATGCATTTTCCTCATAAGCAAATATGCAGTAGATTTTATTGAATAAAACTGTATAGAAATGTGTGAACTTATATTATGGCACAGATAAAAATTTCACACTGTCCCGTTTCATCCAGAAGACTGGATTCCGTTGCCGTGTTCACCGGAAAAATCGCAGCACAAAGGAAAACCCCAAAGCCGGGCTAGACTTGGCAGTTAACTTTCTGTGTTAATGGCATGGAGGGAATATGGCGTGTGCTTGGAGATGCAGAGGGACATGACTGTTTAAGGTTCGGTTTTTACTTTGGCTCCCATTTAGACATTGGCAGAGAGGCAGATCACTACTTTTGCGAGCCGACAATTACAATTATAAAAAGGCTCATCAGTGGATCCGGATGCCGGCAAACATCCACCATATAATCAGCACCGGCATCTCCAAGCACACGGCATACATGTGCCAGCTGAAGGATGCAGAGACACCATTAACATACACTGTACCTTCACAAAAGTGAACCTGTTTTGCCTGTAACTGCTTGGCGTCCTACTATACTTATGCAGAAATTCACTTACGATGCAAACCAAATTTAGGAATATTTTAAATCTCGTAAGTGCAAATCAGTGCGCAGAGACTATATGACGTAATGACAATATTTATTAGCAACCAATATCAATTATGCGGAATTTCATGGAAACGAATGGGAATACAAGGAACACGATCATTTCTTTTGTTGCATTATGAAAATCGATTTAGACTCATAATAATGTACAATGTGTACTGTGTCTGCCAATTATTTTAAGGTTCACTCTTAGGCTGCTGCGACTTCGAAAAATAGTTGCTTGAATAAACTGTGGTCACAGTCGATCAACTGCAACAATCACACGTCAGTCTCTGTAATGAGTGTGTGACACATGGACATTGTAATGAAACTCTTTATGTGTACATTTTGTAGACAAGTCTCCTCATCATTGGGTATCCAGCCTTAAATTTGGAGTTATTTGTCACAATCTAAATATTCTTTTATAACATATATATCGAAACCTATACAAACCCAGATACAGAAAATCACTTTGGCAAGACAAAATCATTGGATTAGCCGCCAATTGTGTGATTTCAGAATTAAAGAATCGTTTCTTGCACGGTTTCTTGGTTAAGATGTGATTTCGAAAAGGTCTCAGGTCACGAATAAGGTGCTAAAAAACAGATTAAGAGAAGGAAATAAAATATATAAAAGCCTGTAAGTATATATGTGTATATAGTCCACCATCACGCAGAAGGATGTGAACGCTGCATAGAGACCCTGCCTTGATCAGACTATCCCCCGAGACTAAGGGAGGATTTGTTGATGGCTGTCAGTATGACATCAACGCCAACATCGAGAAAACTACAGAGGAGGAAATGTGCAGGAATGATGAATGAATATACTGTTCACTGCATGAAAGTACCGCATATGACAAGATCATAAAACACATATCCTGTTAGAAAGACCTGCAAGAAAGTCATTTAAATCGTTCTGGCCTGATTAGACAAAAACAATATTTTATTTTTTAATCTCTTTATGTCTGACATCCCCACAATCAAGTGTGGTATTTGTAGGTCTTGGACGTGTGGTGTTCCTCCCAGCCACAGCAAGAGCAGATTATACCAGGAGAGGTTCCTCATCTATGGATTGCTCTACACAGTAAAGAGAGTGGAGGTAAAGAAGGACCATATTGCGCTCTGCCCTGGATTTTCCTTCAAGTTACTCTTTTTGTTCGCAATTCTGGCAAGTTTACAAATTGAAACTCGTCAGAGATTCCTGAATGTTGTCGGTTCCAATACAGCAGTTTCATGCATCCTCAGAGTTTGTGTGAATCTCTGAGAAAATATAGCTCAAGCCCATCCCCAGCAATCTTGGTGGCTCTCTAGCAACCGCAATTTCACACTTTCATGAAAAGTCGTTGTTTGTTTGCCTCGCTAAAATGGACAACAACAGGGCCGAGCGTCAAAACAAAGCAGATCGCAGCCATTGACTGGGGGCGCCTCATTTGAACTTTGGTAGAAACTCTTCTTTGTTGTGTCAAAGACAAGCTGTTGATTTACTGACAGCACTGGGAGTCCCTTTGAAACCAGAGGTCGGTGGGTTTGACTGAGTCTCACTGGCTTTTATGATACCGTAACCTCAACTTAATTGGCTCTTCAATGTATTCCACAAATACTATCTAAGGGAGATGGCTGAAATCATTAAGTCTCACACTTCAAACCACCACTGAAAAATATATGTATTTATATACCCTCTCACCACAATTGGACAGTCCACCCAAACGACTCCAGCCATAATTCCCAAGTCCCATATGTTCAGACAGTCCAACAACTATTATATATAACCCACATATAATGTGTTGGTAAAAACAAGGTCAAGAAAGTTTTTATTTGTCGTTCTTGTCGTTAATTCATAGCTATCAACACAGGTGAACATTTAAGTATTTTCAAATATGTATTACAAAAGCAAATAGTATGTAATGTCTAATTATTTATTTTAAAGAAATATGCTTCCTGCAGTAAAATGCTGTGAAATGTGGTTTTAAACAGCATGAAGGAATCCTGTTTACTTAAACCACTTCTAGCGTTTTTTAAATCATTAAAATAAATGCAGTATGTTCATTCTTCTTTTCCTCTCAGGGTTGAAAAGAATATATAAAAAATAGGAAGCAGGTCATGAGTTCTAATGTTGCCTGTGGCCTGGTTGGTCTAAATTCCCTTCAAAAAACCTACTTGCCTGTTTACTGCATCTCCTGGAGCTGCAGCCCTCACTGGATTAAGCAAATTGTTCGTATGGTTTTGCTTCAGGCGTGTGTGCACATACAAAGCAGACACACACACACACACAGACAGATTTGTAATCATATCTTTGTGGGGACTCTCCATTCATTTCTATGGGCAAAACCCTAATCTCAACAATGACAACCATAACCCCAACCCAGCCCTAACCTTAATCTTAAGTAACCAAACAAAATGCAAGTCTTTTTATTTTTAGTTTTTTGATTGCAGTCACAGATTTTTATAAAATTTAATTTCCCCTTATGGGGACTGAAAAAAATGGTCCTCACAATGTCAAAATAACATCGTTTTATCACAATGTGAGGACATTTGGTCCCCACAATGTAATGTGTACCTGGACCACATACACACACACACACACACACACACACACACTCACAACATTCATGCTCACCCCCCGAGACTCTGTTGGCAAGGAGTGGGTACGCTCTTAATTTTCTTTGAGCCTCGACTCACCTCACTTGGAGCAGCATTGAGAGGAATTCCCAGGTAGCTCCATTTCACGTCTTCCAGTTGTCAGGCTGCAGTCGTCGCACACTCTTCCCTCTGACATGCAAAAGAACATGCAGTGCATTCAGTGCAGTGCTCCTATAGACAGCTCACCATTTTACCTGGGATCAGGATGAGCTAAGATGCTAGGTGCACTTACAGAGAGGAGGGTTATTATTTAAGCTGCTAATCTGTGTCAGAAAGCATTTTCTTTGGAAACCCCAGTATGGAAAATGATTTTTAATTCCAGGCAGTGACTAGCATGAAGGATGACAGACACTCAATTTTCTTTCTATTTGTCGCTGTTCAGTTCAACCTGTTTTTAGAAGTGTAAGATGTCTACCAATATTGGCTTATAAATGTATTTGAAATGCTCTCTCTGCCACAGAACCGTGCACCAGTAGAGATCCGAGGTTCAGCATGCGGCTTCCACTGACAGAGCAGGTCTTTTCCCTTGACAAACCTCCAACAGTGAAGTCCACTTGTGACCACCCTTGACCTCTCACCCCCCCCCCCCATCCAGCCCTGAGGTCACCATGGCAGATCTAGTGATCGTTGCTGGAAAAACAGAAGAGACCCCCCCCACAAATGAGGAGTGATCAGCAATCCATAATGGATCGGCATTCCACGTTGGCGGTCTTGCCAGATTATGTTCCAAGATCCAGGCCATCGTTGATGATGTAACGACAGAGGGCATGTGGGGGGGCAGCCATGAGTGAAAACTGACCTTCCGATTCCAAAGCTCAAATCCCTGCTAAGTGTGAGGCCTTTACTGCTTCTGGGCAGTGAAACCCCTGCCTCATGCCAAATGTAAATAATGTAGCCCATACATCTAATAGATATATGCAATGAAAACAAAATAAGGGGGTTCCCACATCTGGAAAAGTGGAGGCCACGCAATGCCGCTGAGGTGATGGATGGTCGGGAACCAGAGAGGACTGTATGTAACTAGGCCTCTGTCCTGCGCACTAATGGGCTTTCCCTCCTTTCCATACAATAGAAGCAGCGTCACTCAGCAGAGATTAGCAGACTGTCGCAGGCAAATGAGCAGAACAAAACTGCTTATGGAAAATATGTGTATCACTGAGCTGACTGCTGCGGCAGTAACTGAATGGAGGCAGACTAGTGATGAACTCAGATATAAAACTGTAAAGAAAAACAAAATAAACATTTGGGAGTTGTTTGTGTAGGGGCCAATAGTCAGGCCACTTGTTAAATGTGTACATCTAACGAGGGGGCAGGTAATAATTACATTTCAACTAGCTGAATGAACCAGACATAAGCGTGTGACATTGAGGCAGTGAGACACCAGGGCAGTCAGTCTGGATTAATGAGCAGGCTGATGGGGACGAGGCCGTCGGAATTCACTACGCTGTGTGGACACGCCAAAGAGAGGCCGTCAGAATTCACTAAGCCGTGAGGACACGCCAAAGAGAGGCCGTCAGAATTCACTAA